AATAGTCTTGCCTTTTCAAACTTGCAATTCTGTAATACATTTGTGTTATACTTCTACAAGGTATTCGAATACGGTAGCAGAAATACATTCCATGCTGACGCTCTATAATATGTCGAAGTTACTAGTTTACTACTTAAAACTAGTTAAGTTTGAAGTTACCCAACAGAATCCCTGTCCCAAATACAACTAGTAATGCAATCTTGACGGGACCTCCTCTCACATCCAAAACAGTCATTAGCTTTCACAATGATTTAAGAGGAGCTATAAAAATCAGAGCTGATGGCTTTGCATATAAAAAGGGGCAGATTGACTCTATAGGAGTGGCAGAAATGCATCGACTAATCAGACCGGTCTTCTGGGTAATGGCAAGTTGAACAAAACATGGAACACTGCAACCAATAGTACTACAACATATGTAGGAACAAAGAACACAGGTCACGTGCAGCAGGAGAATGGCCACATTAGCATATGGCCATATTTTAGAAGTAAGGACACGGAAACAGCTTAGCACAAGCTTCAGCTTCACCAGGACACTTAATACACAGATAAGGAGCTACAGACAGTAGTTGAAAATGGTATTCTTCAGGAGTACTTCAGGACACAGCCAGCTTTCTCATTCTGGTGTCTAGGTATACATAAGATACAAAGAACTAGAAACAGATCAGAAGAAAGATCTAGCAGACCAATAGGTGGTTCTGAGCGGGCAAATGCCTACATCAGTTCAAAATTTCAATCTGTTAACCAGGAGAAGGCTGGCTAACCAAGAGAAGAGGTCTGTCTTCAGAAGCAGGATTGATGCTGCTAGATTAAACAGTTGTCTGTTAAAAGCCTATGTTAGACACTTTTATATATTATTTAAATTGGGTGGGGTTGGGTTTGTTGTTGTGTGTTTTGTTTGTTTGGGTTTTTTTTTTAAAAAAAACCAAAACGCTAAAACCCAGAGACTTCACTTATTCATGACTTGACATTTTTGGATCAAGGCTTGACGTAAAAAAAAAAAAAAGAAAAAAAGTAACATTTACATCAAAAATAGGATCTGTGACCTTCATCAAGAATTGATCTTTCTGTCTTTAAAAATTCATGCAGGTATAAATCTCTGAATGTTTAAGAATATCAAGAGAAAAAGAACAATAGTTTGATTTTTCTCTTAAGGTACCAGGACAAACATCCCGCAAGGTGAAGTATCAACACTATTCAGAGACTGTACAGTCTCTCATTAGAATTCCCATCTCCTTTCTCTACACTGTAGGGAAACTTAGTGCCGTTTTCTCCTCTTCCTTTCACAGCATCTCTGAAACATGTAACTATTTGCTCTCAGCTGTCTCCTCTGACACTAAATTAGCATCAGAGGTACACCCACAGTGCTGTTCTGTATTGGTGTTACCTTTACTTTGTAAATAAAAGCAAGGTCCATCCTGGCAAAAGGCTATGTCTACAAACATAACCTCCACATTGTGTCACATGCAAGGACAACATTCTTTTGTTTTAGGCTCAGTTATGAGGAATGGGATAACTGCACAATTCCTGTAACAGTAATCTAGTTAATGTATAATGATGTTCTTAGATGAAAAGAAACAAGTGGAACACTTTTTGCTATTGCTGTCTTTGCTATTGCTCCTGACAATTGCGAATGGTTGTCTGCATTGCTGTACCACTCATAAAACCCATTATACTAAGAGCTAAGCACATAAAATAAGAACTGCAAGCACTCATGCACCTGCTTACCCAACTGAAGAAATGGGTACATAGAAAAAATGTTCTGGAGAACTTCCAAGGAGTTCTCCAGAATATGCAACTGCGCTCTAAAGACTGAGAACAAAGACAGACGCAACTGTGTAAGAACAATCTCTACACAGGCACACATCCTTCTGGTTTTAAAAGGCACAACAGCAGTTCTTGCAGCCAGTTTCAGCTGAACAAACTCTACAGGGAAGACATTAGCAGATACATTATTTAGCAAAATAAAAGCACACCACTTTTAAAACAAACTCTGCAGCAGAGCTAGTGCAAAGGAGGCAGAAAATAATCCTTTTATGCACATCAAGAATTTCCACACGTTTACAAAATCTCTGCATACCTCGCCAAACCTGTAATAGATGCTTAGCCAGTAAACAAGGATTAGTTTCTGGATCAGAGAAACATCCACAAAGGAGATACAAATTTGTTCAGAACTGGCATGCTGGATTGTGGTTTCTTTTAGACAAGAGCCCTCCCTTGCATGACGGTGGAATGTTCCGTGTTACTGGCATGGGAAAACATGGAAACCTAAGATTTGCTCTGGATTTCTTAAGTCATTTCAGTAGGACATTTGGGGCTGAATAAAAGGAGAAAGCCAGAATGAGGCTGGGGAAGGCGGTCATTAATCCATGGCCAGGGCACGTTGAACATTGATTTCTCACCAGGAGAGCAGCTAGGAGGAATCTGTGGACAAGATAGAGTGGCTGAAGAAAGGAGAGAAGGGCAGATCACATACTGCTTATCATAGGTCAAGAGGGAGAAAAGCTGCCTTTGCACCTCAGGCTGTGCTTCTGGGCTTTACTATGCACATCATTTCCAGACCAAAATCTGTAAGCCAGTTAGTTCTCAGTGACATCGCTTGACATCCAGAAATTTTTCAGCACTGTGACCTTGGCTTCAGTTCGTCTTGTCAAACACTAGTCAGTAGAGCAGCACAACGATCACACCTGAGCACCTGCCAAAAGACTAAGAGTTATTAGTAATGCAAAGCAGTATAAAGGGATGTGCATTTTAATCTAGTTATTTGTGCACTGTGCCACAAACTCAGGTCTCCTCCTCCATAAGCTAACAGCAGCAACTAAGGAAACACCAGCCTGCAACACATAAGCTCCTTAACACCTTACATTTATTTCAGTCCATAACCCTGGATGATAAGCAATAGTGTGTCCAATAGGCTGACCCAGTGCTACAAGATTCTCTTCCATTCTCCCTAGGCAAGCAAGTTAAGTGAAGATTAGTTTCTTTAAAAACTCAAAAGAATATTTTAAAGTCTAGACACCTCAAACATTTCTACCTGCTGTCACAATAACCTGTAATGTTTAACAAAGCTGCAAAGAAAGCAACTGGCCCAGCAGATTTCAGGTTCTCCGTCGCTGGAGGTTTTTGACAGCAGTCAGAGACATGAATAATCATTTAAAAATTCCACTTCAAGACCGGAAAGGGTATTCCAAAGACACATACCCCACTTCCTTTTCCCATTTGCTCGAGTTATCTCAGAGCTTGAATATACAGCCTTGTCCGATTTTGAACTTGAAATCCTACAGAAAATTGTTAGTTATGTCTGGCTTGTGCATCACATTCATTCTTCTATAGTCATGTAAAAGTGTATTTCAGTAGCACCAGCAATAATGACTTTGGATTCTATAACTATGTGCCCAGATGCAACTTCAGCACTGGAATTTAAGACATGTCTGCCTTTCATGTTTCTCACTAGTCTTAGGTGTTCCCATGATGTATTTTTAAACAAAAAATATTGGAGCAGTTAGCTGTGCAGCTAAGCACATGGGCAGTCTTTTTTTGGCCTGATTTATGTGTTCTGAAAAGCCTGCCTCAACATGTCTGCTGGCTAGTGGGGAGTCATAATACATTGTTTTGTGTAACCAATATTGAAAGTTTTTTATGCTTTCATCTACTCAGTGGGGGTGGGAAATAGACTTTTAGGTGCTTTTTTCCACCCACCCCCCTTCAAATATACATCTGAAGAGAGACATAAACATACAGAGTCTGAGATATAAGCACTGTAAGAATAATCTTATAATAATTATGGCACAATTTAAGTACTGTAAGAATAATGCTCTCCTAATACAATTCTTCTAGTCTCCTGATATATATGAAACAAACCGGTCTCACTGAAGTTTCAGAACCATTTAAGTTTTCTTAATTGTGCAATGCCAGTACTAATTCACTGCCATGGCCAAATCTGATCTATGGTTATTTATAAAGTGCCTGCTGCTACACACAGATGCTGTAGATTATATACTCAAGCAATTTATGCCGGCAGCTTGTATTAGCAAAACGTTCATTCAAGCATTCCAAGATGCTCTACGGACATAATTACTCAAACTGCATTAAAAAAAAAAAAAAGAAAACCAAAATCATACATATTACTTAATGAGACAATTTGCAACAACTACACAAAAGCAATGGTTTTACTTCCAAATCTTCCAACCTCAACAAAGTAAGCAGCAAAAAAAAGTTGTTATTTCCTCCAAGAACTGCCCAGTTTTTAGATATTAAAGTTAGTGATGTTTGCACAGACTATGCCTGTGTATATGATATTAAAACACAGAAGCATCAGAACTCTGATTGTCTTTTGCAAAACTACAAGAAACAAGCTAAGAAGGCCTGTTTAGTTTGAAATATCCAGCCTTTTCTAACAATGATCACAGCCTAAGTGCTGCTAAAGTTATTAGAAAAAAACTAATAGCTTGATCACCACAGGTATTATCAAATCAAAGCACATGACCTTTTATAAAAGGCTAATATTGCTTAGTAAGACTTTCCAGCGACTCCAAAGAACCAGCATTAATTTTGATTGACAGCCACCAACTTCAAACCAAGCCGCAAGAAATTTAGTAAGATGAAACGTTTTGCCTTTACATCAGAACTTTCTGCTTCTCAGGGGTTAAATAGAAACCTGCGATTTATTGTCTGATAGTTTTTTACTAAATCCCAAAGCAAAAGACAATATGCATTCTCTAAGGGGTCTGGCTGCCACACTACCTTCCCCACAGGTTTTTCTAGTATCGCAGCCCATTCACTTAAGCACAGTGTTTTAATCAGCTTTAAGGGGGAAGGGGAGTAGGAAGAGAGAGAGAGATCAAAATGAGATCTTACAGGATTTAACCTTCACATTCTGTGCTAGTGCCATGGACTTGCTTTAAGTATCAGTAATGTACACTTTTTGCAATAACATCCAAAGAAAGAACATGCATTTTGTGTGTTCGTAAGAAGCTATGAAAACATCTCTCTAGGTTACAAACCTAGACAAGCAGTTATTCACTCCGATCCTTTGGCTCTCGGTATTTCCACTGGATATAGTCAAAGATGTCTTTTTCACATTCTACTGGTAGGGCCTCCCCAGCAACTCCTGCAAGCAAATTACAGATGCTATTTGAAAGGTGGAAGGTCTGTACAATCCTAAAATGCCAAATGCATTGCAAGATTAAGACAAAAATGCTATATGTAAAACAGACTTAAAAAAAACAAAACAAAACACCCCCCCCAGACCTTTTCATACAGTATTTAGGTACTGATTCTCATTAGTGTCAAAGGAAATCAGGTAATGAATTAACTTTGGGGCCATGTGGTTATGCAGTTAAATATATTTATATTTGTGTGTGTATGTATGTGTGTGTATATATATGTGTATATAGACAGCCCCCCTCCAAAACAAAACAACCGACAGATACGACATATCTTGTTAAAAGAGTGGGAAACCACATATGTGCTGTGCACGGCACTGAAAAAACAATCTTTAGGTCAGTAAGACTTTAAGTAGATTAGGTGGCCCAGAAAGGTAACTTTGTGCCACAGCACTGCCTATACATAAGTAGGCTGCCTCTTCCTGCTCTAATGGTGTCCCAATACCACAAAGGACACTAAAAAATTACATGAACTACAGTATTTATCAGAAGCATTTCCAATACACTGAGAAACCAATTTAAGAAGATTGCACAAAGCATGTAACTAGAAAGAATACTCTGTGCAAAGGCCCAGACTGACCAGTGACACCCAAGGGACGGATTGTATACTCATTGATCGTGAAGCCCATTTCCAGAGCATGAGCTCTCATGTTCTTGTTGAATATGTCACTTCCCGTGAAATACAGTACACCACAGTAATACTGATCTTTAGGGATAAGCCTAGAATAAAAGTGGAAGAAAAGTACAGATTTAGAACAAATATATTAACAAAAAAGTCACAAGCCATTTGGAATTCAGCCATTCAGACGCTGTTCTAGGTTTACTTCCTATTTACATGCACACATTCTGCAACTCTGTATGTCTGATTTTCCCACAAGCCAGATGCAAGAATGAAATGAATTGCCTATCAAAGAAAGGTTCAGCACATCTACCCTGTCCCAGAAGTTACTGGTGTTCGGTCACTACATAGTTCCAGTGCTTGCACTCCTGCAAGAATTAATGCCAAAGCAGTATGATAAAGTAGGTCACAACTCTGAAACTGAATACAAAGTCATGATTTAAAATACAGCATTCTTGCTAATAACCTGTTGCAGATACAGGCAGTTTTACAGTGGCTTCCATACTGCAAAGGAATTAGAAACCTAGTAAATGCCATGTTCTGAATGTGGAAGTAGAGATTTGAATGCAGAACTTGATGCAAATGCCTACTATGCAGCAGACAGCTAAAGTAGGGGTTTTTTTTTAGGTGTGTGTACCGGATATCAATTCTCCTATGTGGATAGGCTGTTCCATCTTCTTTATCTGGCAGCTGACAGACACCCTGTGAGGAAGTAAGGAAAGCAAGAATTTAAAAATTAAATGAAACAGATTTGAGATCAATCTTCACCTCTCCACCCCTAAACAACCTCTAAACAATCCTCAGCTATCCTGGAGAGCAAAGTTAAATTCCCACCGAACCAATTAAATATTTTACTAGAACAGTTGGATGTCATAGTACTGCGAATCACTATTTTACACTGCTAAGAGAACCGTAGTTGAGTGTAGCATAACTGCTTCTTAAGTTTTTATTACAGCAGGAAGGATCAAAGGACTTCTCATTTCCCATTCCTCTGCCTTGATTATTATCAGGCTCTTGAGCATGCACAAACATCAGCAGGTTAAGGAAAATGTAGACGGAGTTCAAGCTAATAGAAATTTAAAAAATAAAGTTTTTTTCTTGAGAAATCCTCTGTCACTTTTCATTTCAAACTGCTTTGTAATCTTCATGAAATTCACCTGTCAGCCTTTTCTTTTTTCCCCTAGTCTATAATCACCTTAAATGACAACGCAGTAGGGGGAAGGGATATGAACCATAAGGAATTATGAGAGATGTTCACATACTAAACTGTTTCACCAATTGCAGCCTCATGCTGAGACTTCTACTCTTAGGTTTGTTTTGAAAGCTTAACATTGCTTATGCTTTTAAAGTTATGTTGTCTGCCTCCTTACTGAGACTTACTTTTCTCAGATTCTCAGCTGCAGTCATATTTCCCTTTTTACAACATTCCTTTCTTAGCTTCCACTTTGAAGACAAGAGCTATTCCACAACTATTTAAGACTGACAGGATTATACAGAGCAAATGGTCACTATAATAAGCTTGTCAAACTGTGAATGCAAACTGCGAGTGCAGAGTGTGTCTGCTTTTGGCTCACAAATGTACATTTAGCTTTAAACCCACACAGTATTCACACTTAAACCATTTGGCAAGAACAAGAGCGACTTTCACTTATTCCTCCTAAAGATCAAGCCCCCCCCAAAAGCCATCAAGTTTCATTCCCTCTGAGAATGCAACACAAACTAAACTGAAGACAAATGCTCAGAGTTCTTTTAGCTCTTATTTTAAGCAAAGCCAGACCAACAAACAAAAATATAAAATAATCAAGTGCTCCAACAGCCCCTTTCACCTTGAGAAAGCAAGTATCTTTAACTGTAGTATCACATATTTAAATATATTTATGCCTTCCAAAAGATTAGCTGAATATAATGGTATCTTGATTTCTAATTAGAAATTCATAAATCATGGACCTTTGGTGAACCCTCCTGCAGGACCACTCCTCTGAGCTTCGAAGGAATTCCATAAAGCCAGTATGAGTGACTGACAGGAACTAACGAGTCCTCATTTCCACTCAGTATTGCTTATGGGTCTATACTTCTCTGTTAGAATTAACTTTTAACCAGCCTGTAAGACCAGGATGCCTGGGGCCTGTAAAGAAAACTAAGTGAAGCAACACCTAATCCACGTTTAAGAAAAAAAAAAAGTCTTGCTGTGAGCGAGGGACCTAACAAAATGAATGTTCCTGTAATTCATTACTTTCTTCAGGCATCCCACATATTCCCTATTATATCCTGAGTCTAGCAGCTTATCCATTAAATCTGCTCTGCCACAAAATTGACAAAAAAGGAGACAAAAGTATACTATGTATTAGACAAAACAAGGTAAACATAGGCCTGAGATCAAAGATAGCATTTCCAAGATCTTGAGGACAGAGTTACAAAAGTGGTCACTGGTGCAACTGAAGTGAGGTTCTGCTAAGGTTCTAGGGAAACATCAAGCAAAACAGTGACACAACTGGCATTGTGTGATGAAGGTTATGTCAGTGGGGTTCAGAACTACATAAATACCTGTAGATTTTCTAATACTGAAATCTTACCATGAAAGATTCACTAAGAGTTAACTGCAGAAAGTTTTTATGGGGGTAAAGGAGGGAATTTAAAAAAAAAAAAAAAAAAATCACAACTCCAACAGTCCAAATAAGCTAGGATATATACAAGATACTTTATGTCAGGAAACGTAATCCCCCCCAACATCCTTCACCACCAAAAAAGCCTTACCATGAACTTGGTGTCACCTTTAGACAGCACATCTGTGACAAAGTGGACTTTTTCCAGTTGTTCTACAACTTGATGCAGAAGTTTTGACTAGGAACAGTGACAGCACAGAAGAATAAATTATTTCACAAATAACAAGAATATTTTACCCGTTTACCAGACAATGGCCCACATAAGTATGGGACGTCACTATAATTATATGTATTATTGTACATGAAATTTGACCTAGAGGGGGAAAAAAGATAATAATTCTGAGAAAAAGCTAATAAAATTACAGTTGTGCAACATAAAAAAAACTTCCACTGAAATCCCCATGTCAGATTGACTTCATTGGAAGTGACAAAACTAGTTTCTTGGTTTGAGTTTTCAACTTCTATGCAATGAAACTATTGAAGCAACACAAAAAATACAAACTGTCATTAAGACTTCTCCACAGTTAGTCCCAAAAGATTACAAGGGCAGCAGGACATTTGCTTCTCATCCAAAAGATATGGCTACATAAAGAGATACTTTCTCTACCTATAATCTCTGCTTTACCCAGCTATCTGTTACAGTTTTACGTTGTAAAAGCACATGAATTTGAGGGGGTGAGGGTGGGGGGAGTATGTGTGAAGGGAACAGGAGGGATGGAAGGATAAGAGTAAACATACTGAATAGTTCTGCAAGAGGAACACAACATTATACATGGACCTGAGAAGTGATTGTAACTCCTTAAAATAAACATGGTGATCCAAGAAAAAAAAAAGAGTTCACTATTACAGTAACAAAAAGATGCAAGACAAGTCTGAGACTATGTATCTTCTGAATTTAAACATACCCTTGTGGAAGTAATGCATAGTACTGATCCACAGTAGCAGAGAAACACACCTGTTTGGATGATTCAGATGTGAAACTCGGATGGGTTAGGAGAACATCCATATCGCCACTTGACTCTGCACCTAGGCAAGTAAGAAGCAAAGAAAAATCACTCTGCGTATGACAAAGTACATCAACATTGGTGAACATCCATCTAACCTCTTCCTATAAACTTGTTTTTCTGGTATAAAATAGTCAGTCACTATTCAAGATATTTGCAAAAAAATAATCTTAAAGTTAAGAGAACCTTGTTCTTCCATCAAAAAAAAGTTTATATCCCCACATATCTCAGAAAATACCAAAAGAATTTCTTGCTGTACTCCATAGCAATGAAGCACAAATGTTGTTAGGGTAAAACCAACGCAAACAATTCACACATTACAGTATACTACTCTTTATGGGGGCAAGGTGGAGAAGCAAGGATTTATGCAGGTGTTTCGTCACTGAACTAACCAGTCAAGACTATACTAACAGGAAAAAGCCAGGTTCCAGCACAGACTTTCTCTCTAGAAGAACAACATATACAGTACTGAGTCTTGCTTATTAGCCCAAAGTAAGCATTGGAAGATCACAGAGTACCAACCTCGTCTAAAACTGCCACAGACTGTAGCAATATAGTTTGGGTCCAGCTTCTTTACCTCTTTCAGCACAATTTCCTATGTAAAAAGGAAAGATGTGTGTTTAGAGGCATCAGTCATTCATTGGCCACTAGCGCCTCACATCATTGATAAAGACATTCTTACCTGCATTTGCAGCATTTCTTCCCTTGGGATTCTTTTCTCAAAATCTTCAAAATATCTGCATATATAAAAATAAGTGTCTGAAAGAGTGGCAAGGGTAGCATCTTAAAATTTTAGTCAATTAAATGTGTATCAGAGGAAAGAATACAACTTCTATTACTGTCACATCACAAAAAGCTCCCCATTCTCACCAAACATCTTAGAAAACATCTTGCCAAGAGACAGTAAAGTCTCACAACTGCAAGTTTGACAATGCTTGGAAGGTGGTTTCATTGCATATTATTTCCACTGTATATGAAGAGCTGCTATGAGGTGCAAGTAATATTACTGTATAACCAATTGGTTTGTATTTATATAGCCCTCTGAAAATACAAAAGGTTCCTGACAAAACTCAGTCCACCAGCAAGCAGGAGGAACAGGTCCCTCACACACAGTCAGAGGTGATCTATGCTGGAAAGAGCTAAATGGAAGCTCACAAGTCAAATGCAGCTCCTGGTATCTTTGCATGCAGCTGTAAAAAACAGACTGCAAGCATGCCGCTTGACTGTGGATTAAAAAAGGCCAGGTGAAGCAAAGACACACCTGACCAGTGGGCACATTCTTTACCCCTCCAGCACCAGAACCATTGACAGCAAGCACTGGCAGCCATGCTGCAGCCTCAGAGCCACACGTTCCCTGATGCTTGTTACCCAACCATCCCAATCCCAAGATTTGCAGACAGAGCTTCTGGATATGGAACTCACCCCTCTCTGAGAGTGGCAGTAAACTAGGGACAAAAAGACCACCATGAAGCACTGAAACCATTCTTTCAGCTCAGCACTTACCGGAAGTTGTGAAACAACATCTGAGCTGGAAGCAGACCCAAGGGCAACGTGTGCACTAGCAGCATGGATAGGTCAGGTGAGTTTTCTATTACTCACTTAACAGCAAAAGGTTTTCCCTTGAATGCTCACATGTATAAAGGCAGGGATGCACACTGGATATGGGGCTGGCTCAGATGAGCAGTGGGAAAGCGACAATCATTGCGTAACCCTTCTCACTGGCAAGCAGTTTGTCCAGATCACGTATTCTGCATCTCTGCCACTGATGTGAAAATGCTACAGCTGGCCCCACACAGAACCAACTCAGATATAGGGCTTTATTTGGTTCAGCTGCAGCTTCTTGCAAACACAGCTATAGTTGTTCCAGAACTAGCACACTGGAACAGCCACTCAACAAGGAGCATTCAAGCTGGTAAGAACTGAGGGACAGACAGACATTCTGCATGGCATTCTCAAGTTCAGACATGCAAAGGTCTTACCTGGCTCACAACACATAACAAAAAATAGCCTGGGCCACTTTTATGCAGATTCCCAAGAAACATCATTGCAACCTTGCTAAAGTGATTCTCCATGAGCTAACTAAAAAAGTAACTTGAAATTAATTTCCTTCTGGATGGAGACTAAGCCTACTGAATTTCAACCCCAGTGAAACAAAAGCTCTGAATAACTGCTGAAAAGCACGTAGAGCACACAGAGACAACAGAACCTTACTTGGCCTGCGTAACCTTACGTTACATCCTGGTGTCTGAAGGAGTCATTAGAAAACCAAGCACTTGCACCCAAGAAAGCTTACTTCAACCCAATTCGCTGGTGATGGGTCAGCTTGTGCTCATTTTTTCTTAGATCTAGAAGAATTAAGAAAAACAACAACAACAAAAAGTTACTTGAGGACTAAAAATCTTACAGTAAGTTTCCACCACTGCAAAGATGATGCATGCAAACAATACCTAACAAGAAAACAGCAACCTCAAACACAAAGGAAGAGATTTTAAACTGACAGCTGGTAAGATGAGTACAAACGCATAGAGCACTTCCCAATAAAAGACTTCAATAGACCATTCGCCTCAAAGCCAAAATCCTTGTTATTTTCCATGTCATCTGTAAGTACTTTACTTTGGATATGTATGTAATGCCTTTAGCCTGTCCACTAGCTTTAGCATCTTACATACTTCCCTCAAAGCCTAGGGCGTATCTGCTATCACAGTACACTGTGGAACAGGCAGCTTGACAGAAAAACACATTATTGGAGCGGGAACTGAGGACCAAAAGTTGCACTTACCTTCTAAAGTCTTGATTCCTTCCTCAACAAACTTCCTAGCAGCAGCAGGACTGCAAAGAGATATGGCAATCTGCCATCAGGAACAGCAAGAATCAGAATTCACTGTAACTGCCTAGGTTCTTCAAGGCCAAGACTGAAGTCACTCCTGATGCTTACCCTCTTTTCAGCATATGCATTTTCAGTTTGTACTTTCAATCAGCAGAGATGGCTATCCAAGGCTTAGCCTGCACATTTTTTAGCATTGATACAACTGTCTAGTGATGTATAATTGTAAAAAATAAACAAAATCTCACCAGATACACAATATTGCTTTAGACAATACTTTTGAATGCATGATAAGAACTACTTTAACCACAATCAGTCTCTGAACCAGCTTAAGGCAACAGCAACACAAAGTGTCTTTAGACTAGCACTTCAAAAAACCCAACAAGGCTCCAGTTTGCAACCTACAGTACAGCAAAGCAGTCCCAGCTCCAGTTCGGCTGGAGAGTTTGACTTAAGCACAGCACTCAAGTAAATGACTGAACCTTTTTCCCCTTTAAGGGTTTGTCATTTGATTAATCTGCTTGACTCTGCGGGGAAAGAACAACGTTTCAACTGAGAGACAGGCATTCAAGTAACGTTACACCCAGATACCTATCCAATATCTCAAAACGCTGAGCACCACCTGCCTGGAAGCATAGTCCCTTCCTGGGGAACTACTCTCCAACTAGTCTGGAATCCCATGGTTACAGTTCCACCACCTTAAATACTTTGAATCTGCTTCCTCAATAAAACTCTTACATTACAATAGAATTGTGAGATCTTGACCTGCCGTTTACTTCCTTTCTTACTCTTCCCAGCATCTCTTGCTGGATTCCAGACCAAGACAGGCAACTTCCACCATCCTGAGACAGGACAGGACCCAAGCTTCTCCTTCTGCATCCCATTCCAATTTCTCCAAGGCATTCTCAAATCCCAGTATATCCTCAAACTTTGAGCACATTTTCTCTCGGAATTACTTGAGAATGATCGCATTTCCTATCCTCAACCTCAAGTGTTTCAAACGTTGCACAAGAGCCCTGATGGTTTTTTGGGGGTTTTGTTTGCTTGGTTTTTGTTTTGTTGCCTGTCTCAGGGGTCTATTCCTTTTACAAACACACGACAGAGCACCATTGTCCCTGGGCCCAACTTCCCACCTAAAGTCCTAAAGAGACTTCTCACTTCCACTCTTCTCAGTCTTTCATGGTTCCATTCTTGGTCAGCTCCTCTCTCCTTCCCCTCTCAGTTTGCACACAGGAGCTTCCCACTTCCACTCCTCTACCGCAAAGTCTGTAATTGACGATTCTATACCCTTTCTTTTCAGCCAATTGTGTCATCACAACTGAGGTGTCTCAGTATGGGCACTACAGCATCAGCTCAAACTCATTCTCTTCATTATTTGCAATTACCCAAATTCTGTTCATAACTCCACCAAATAAACAAGAGAAGGAAAAAAAACCCCACAAAACCCAAACCAACCAACCAAACAAAAAAACCTTACCCAATGCCAGTAACTCGTGTCAAGAAATTGATAGATGCACTTGTATCATCTTGTCGAATCTGCAAAAACAAAACAACACAAACCAAACCCTTCTTTATTCCATTTGCAATAAACAAAGAAATCCTGAGAAGATAAAACAGCTTAGTCAGAATCTGCTTTGGAGGCTCACTATAAATCAATGCAAAACAGTAACAAGGGTATTACCATGTATCACAATAATGCCGTATGTACCAAGCCTGACAACTGCCTAACTACCCATGCTGAGGTGAACAGCACGGCTAAACCACAAAACTGCACAGCCTTCCAGAGTCAGAATTCCACTTCTCACAGAAGACGTTCACATGCTGATCATATAACCTAAAATATCTTCATAAATAGACAGTTTTGAGGCTTTGGCTAAGCTTCTTGTTCCCTGCTTTCTACTCGCCATAGGCTCCATGACCACTATTCTTAAGCTTGACATCAGTCTCTCCAGGGACAACAACAGAAATTGCACAAAGCAAGCAGGCTACTTTGCAGGTTACAAAGAAAAGCTACTATTGAGAAATAGAGCACAAAGGAGAGAAACCCACCTTTTCCAATTTGCGTAGTTTTCCAGTGGATAAGAACTCATCTATCTTCTCAGCTATTTTAGCACCTACTCCATCCTAAATATTGGGGGGGAGGGGAGACAACTTAACTTCAGGATCACTAAAAGCCATTATATCTGGAAAAAAAGGGAAGCTGCACAGAATAGAGTCCAGAAAGAACTATGAGGCCACTGAGACCACAACAAAATGTTGGACCACAAGGGAGCACAAGAATTCAAGGGCACACCGCAAGCAGCATAAACGCTGTAATTCAAGGGCTATATTAAAAGCTCCCCCAAAGCAGTAATTCTGAACAAGGCGGGCTTTGCTCGAGTTCCCTGAATTTAGAGAAGCGGTAACAGAGGAAAGGGGAACCCTGCCGCAGCAGAACCCTCATACGGCAGAGCCTCAGCTGGAGCCCCCAGCTCCAGCAAGGACCCCCCCAGCAGCCACACCGCATCCCCGTCCCCGAGAACCTGCCTCGGCCACGGAAAAGAGGGGCTGGCACAGGCGGGATCAGCCTCCCTCTGCCCCCACGCTCCCCGGTAGCCCCCCGCTCCCTCCAGCTATCCCACGGACACCACCCCCCCCCCCCCCCCGGGGGGGGCCACGAAAACTTTACCAGCTTCTTGGCCTCGGCCCCGCTCCGGATCTTGCTGGGATACCGGGAAATAACCGAAGCTGCTTTCCTGCAGAACAGGGGCCGGTCAGCACCCACGCGCGGCGGCGGGGGAGCGGGGAGGGGGAGAGGCGGTACCTGTACGCGTTGTACTTGTGAATGGCCCGGTTCACGTTGCGCTCGTAATTAGCCAGCTCTGAGGGGAGAACCGCGGTGAGAGAGCGGCCGGCCGGCCCGCGGGCCCTCCCACCGCCCGCGCAGCCCCTCCCTACCGGTAAGAAAGTCGGTGATGCCCTCGTTGGGGCTCTCCTGAGGAGCCTTTCGCTTGCTCATGGCCGACGTCGGCACCGGCGTCGGTACCGGGAGGTGGCGGAAGCGCCGGCCGGAGATGACAGGAGGCACTTCCGGCGGCGACGTCATCAGAACGCGACCGGTTTCAGTACGCATGCGCGGTGTCCGCCGGCGGGAGTGGGCTGAGGGGGAACGGGGCTGAGAGGGAGCGGGGCTGAGGGGGAACCGGGCTGCGAGGAACGGGCTGCGGGTGATCCGTGGGGAGCGGTGGGGCTGCGGGGGAGGGAAGGCGTGAGGGAGGCGGTGGGCAGATGCTGGAGCACGCAGGTGTAGGGCGGTGTGGAGCTGCTGATGTTGTCTGTCCTCCTCCGCAGAGTCTGCCGGTATGACATCTCCGCCTGCACTTCACGCTGCTTTCTGGCACGCTGTTGGATAAACAGGATTTTATTCCAACAGGGTCTGTTTGACTTGGGCCGCTTGTGTTGTCCGAGAGGCAGCTTAAGTGAGCGAAGTGAACTCCTGCTTGTATCACTGTCCAGGCTGGAGTCTGTTTCACGTTAGCTCAATCTCTCCGGTGTTTGGAGTTTTTAGAGGCCGTAGTTTTCATCCTGGTTTTGCTGGAAGCTGCTTTCCACGCAGTCTGGAGATGACTGAAAACCTGGTGTTCCATTGGTGGTGTGTGCCTCTATTTTCCGGGGAAAGGGCTGGGGCTGTGGGGTTTTCCTCTCAAATACCCAAACTGAATTGTATTCCAGAAGCAAAAAGCGGGGGCAGGGGAGGGGAGCGCTGCTCACTGAGTTACCACATCAAGGGCAGCAGCAGCAAGAGCTGACCATTTCTCACCGGACTGACAAACACCGCTCCAGTGATGACTCTTCAGGTGTCACAGGGGAAGGGGGAACATGTGGGCAGTGACCCCATGGCAGACTCACTCCCAGGAGTTATGTGCATTAATTAATAAACGATAGCTTTATTCTTTGCACTTATGGCTGTGCTGAAGTCCCTTTGCACTTGGAAGTGCCTGTGACAAAGTCCAGTATGGAGGTTATGCATTATGTGTTGGGGATTGAGCAGCTGGTCCAAAGGCCTCTCAGACCTCTTTGAGATCCCTGGGGGTTTCTGGAGCTCCCCAGTGCTGTTCACAGGGCTGCAGGGAATTTCTGTTGCATCACCATGGATGCTCTGGGCTGTTGGTGGCATTTTCCATCCTCTGGTGGGCAGCCAGGGCCCCTCCAGGACCATGAGAGGTCCCCAGGCCCCTCCTGGGTTTGCTCTTTACACCCCCAGGTATCCCAGGCACGTCTGGGGTGAAGGGCTGGGCCAGTGGAAGCGGTGCCAGGAGACAGGCTTTGCACAGAGTGAGGGGCTATCTGCAGACATCCCGTAAGCTACCCTGAGCCTCACAGCATGCGTTGCAGCCCCTTTGGTGGGCAGCAAGGCCCTTTGTTTGTGTTTGGGTGTGCTCCCAGGCCCTGCATACACCTTGCAGCATGCCACCAAGTTTTCTGTGGGGCTTTCTCCCATCCCAGAGTTTTTCTGGTGATTTTTGGTGTGCTCCAGGGTCCTCTGTTTTCATTTCTGTATGCCCCAAGGAGTCCTCTGTTTGCATTGCTATCCCCTGATGTTGTTTTTTCTTTTATTGCACCCCAGAGCTCTCCATTTGTTCTTTTGTTTCTGTGACAATACTTTTTTTTCTCCTTTCTGCTCACAGAAGGGCCCTCCCAGCAGCTTTCACCAAGCTGCTCTCAGGAGCTGGGGCACTCCTGCTGCCCCAGCTGTCCCTGAGGAGGCTGCTGCCCAGGGTCTTGTGTTCCTGATCAGCTTCTGCTTTGGTACCAGATACCAAATAGAAACATACTATAAGGCAGAAAACAGACTGCTCTGGAGCACAGAGATGGCTTTGGAAAAGGTTCTGACAGAACAAGAGGCATCGTCATAGGGATTAGAGAGTTCCTGAAGGGACCAGAGAGACCAAAGAAGTCTTGGGGATGCAATGAGCTCAAAAGGGAATCGAACAAAGGACAGATATCCTCAGGGGACCGGGGATCAAATGGAGGCGTACCAAATGGTCTTCCCCCTGCCCCTGCCATGTCTGTGGGTCATCTCCCCTCCTGTCTGTGGGTCTTCAGGATGTCATCTGTGTTGCTTTATTTTTTAAAATCTCTCGCCAGCATCTGGTCTGCTCGGACGTGCTGTTTCCCGCTGAGCAGAGCTGCCCCTCTGGCACAAAGCAGCTTGGGGTCTCTTCTGGCCTGCCTTCAGGCTGTCACCTGGGCTGCCTTATTTTTTAAAATCTCTTGCCAGCATCTGTCAACTGGCTGCTGTCACTCCCACAGCCCTGATGCCGCACGCGGACTGACACAGCAGTCCCTGGGGCTTGCTCCAGGGCAAAAAAACCCCCCTGTTCACAGGTTCCCTGCGCTGCTTCTCCTCCCCAGGTAATGGGGTATGGGGCATGGACAGAAGCAACCACCCCAATTTTCCGTCCTTTGCGTTCGACCGCTGTGAATGCTCCAGCCGCTTGGGTGATTTTTGGCACGGCAGCAAGGAAGACCACTGCCCGGGCTGCGAG